GGTTGATACCATTGGAAATCATCTCAATCGTAACTCCTTATGTTCTTTATTGCAACATCGATTCTAAGCACTCCCAATTTGAGCTCTTAGGGTTCACACGGGTGGCTGACAGTTACTGACTGCCTACAGAAAACGACATCGTTCTAACGAATGCCCAAAAAACAGAACTTTCCGGGAAGAAACTAATTAAGCCTGGCTCAGCTCGTGTTGCGAGCTACTCCATTACTTCTATATTAGGTTCATAATTTTGGCTCATTGAACCAACTCAAGGCAATAGTTTGCAGAAGCTTCACTGACCTAATTCGCCACTGTCCTTCTCCATGCATTGCGGAATCCGCTGAACGGTTCACCATTCCCTTGTACTCCGCCATCCATAGGAAACGCAACTGTAAGAACTCGAACAACCGATAAATCAAATACTCACTTTCAGTGCTGATAAAAGTGTTAATGAGGAGTTGAATTTTAACTGTTGAAATACATTATCGAGCTCGGAGCTCGGAGCTCCGCTCTCGTGTCCAAAAGTCAGGTACTAGAAAGAATATGAAGATCTTCCTTGCAAAAATCCTATCATAAATATACAAAATCGTCGTCCAATATAAGCGACTGATGAGTGCGCGAATAATCTCATATAGCAGTGCTATATGAGAGTGCTATAATAGCACTTAATGGGACATCGATGGCTCTTACCCACTGGTCTCCATCCGCAAGTTTCTTCTGAGCCAAAGGTACGAGTTGTCTTGTCTTTCAACTTTAGTTACTAGTAGCAACTACAGTAATTGTGGAAGGATAGTGTAGTAGCGAGCCAACAGTGTATGAAGCGGCCTGCGTGATCCTCTAGCTCACCCAAAGCAAGAGTTCGCTGAACTCACAGTACTTTGGAGTGGAGGCCCGCGGTGGATCGTGCGAGAGGCAGAGATCTCCATTCGATATTGTATTCGGGCCGCCCAGTGCACGACGCAGCTCGTCTGCAGCGAATCCGAAGGCCTCCATCCATGTAGACGTGGGAGTATGTGAATGCGACGCATTAAAATGCGGTTGAAGCCTCTTTCGTATGCCTTCGTCTGGAGAATATACATCCCTGTCTCGTATTTAATACGACGTATTACGAGACTCGTAATATAACTTTCTTTGGATCCAGCGCTAGCATACACCGACCGATCAGAGGATGGCTCGAAGACGGAAGGAACGGAGTCCGTTTAACGATAAACTGCATCGTCCGTTCAACGGACGATGCAGTTTGTCGCGAGTATGGTAATTCACACGAGACTAAGCGGGAG